CACAAGTTGAAATAGGGAAGAAAATGGTAAGTGAGCACCTGTCTACCCTAGATGAGTTCAAATCACCAGGATGGATTATACCCCAGGGTTCTGAAGGAACTGGCAGACTAGATCTCAGCACCACTGAACTATATCTTTCAGAGAGGACTGGAAAAGAGCTGATGTGGTTCCCATCTTCAAAAAAGGGAAAATAGCAGATCCAAGAAACTATAGACCTATCAGCCTGACCTCAATACCAGGGAAGATTCTGGAAAAGATAATCAAGCAACGAATTAGCGAACACCTAGAAGTAAACCAAGAGGCCTGCCTGAGACTTTTTCCTAAGTCTTCCTCTTGGAATGGGTTCAAGCTGCATTTGTCTGATCATTGTCTTAGTAATGGATCTTCCTACTGTCTTTCAAGGCCATTCCTTATGCCGTCTACACTCGCTCCCACTCCCTCAGATTAAGCTATCTTGCAAAGTTGTTCCTATGGAGTACAATTGAGGAAAAGAATACTTTTGTTTTCGGAGGAAATCTAACAAATCAATGAACAAAAGTTTAATAAACTGAAAGTCTAATAAGTTACTGGTGAAGAAGCTCTGTGACCGCAAATCCCAGCTTCTGAATTCTTAGGAAATTAGTTGAAGCAAACATGTTTTTACCACCAATAAGCATCAATTATTCCTACAAGCTGGAGGATGTTGCAGCTACATTTCCTCCCATCAGAATGGCCTACAACTCTGATATTCTCTGGTGATCTTCCATCTAAGTATTAACCAGGCCCAATTCAGCTTAGTTTCTCAGCCCACGCAAAATTGATGCTGCGCCCCTGAGATATATTCCAAAAATCAGAGAGCAATATCAAATTCTATGTATTTACCAGTCCATGAATCCAACTCAAATAAAGTGGCACAACAATCTTCTAGTTTGACACCCTTGGAGAAAACATTAAGGATGAAATCCAGAGAAAACCTCACCTGTGTAGTAGGACACTGAAACTGCAGCAACACCAAAGGGCTAGCACATTTCATGATGTTGAAGTAAAACAAGTAAGGCTTCTGCCTGGAAACAGAAAAAAATATTACAAACTGTTCTTCTATTTGTTCCTATCAATAAGTGATACCATATGATACATAAAGATTCAAAAAACTGGAAGGTGTTCCCTCTAATCCTTCAGAAAAGGCTGGATATCACTTCTGAATGAATTACAGTCAAGTCGATATCAAGCATTTTTCTTGCTTTCACCAGGGCTAATCCTGCTAATGGTTCTCAACCTGTGGGTCGGAACCCCTTTAGGGGTTGATCAATCATTTCACAGGGGTCGCCTAAGACCATCGGAAAACACATATTTTCGATGGTCTTAGGAACCGAGACATTTTATGGTTGGGGGTTGGGGGTTGCGGCATTGGGAAGGTTGGGAACCACTGTGCTAATGCAGTGGTCCCCAGCCCCCGGTCCGCGGACCGG